ACTAAGATTTTTATTATTTGTCATATGTTTTAAAGAATCTTAGTTGCCATTTTCTGTTAAAACTAATGAACTTTCGGGAAATTTTTCATTTAAAATATTGAATTAAAAAAAAAAATTAACGGGATGGGGCACCCGTTACCCGTGCTCGCCACGAGGCAAAATTCTCTTCCCCGTCCTCGCCCTGAATACCCGATTAGGGGGTTACGGGGCGGAGCATCCGTTACCTGTGCTCGCTTCGAACCTGCCCGGGGCAAAATTCTTTGCCTTGTCCCCGCCCCAAATACCCGATTAAGCAGGTTATCCCAGCCACGTTCGGGGCGGGGCCCGAGGGTATCGGGTTTTTTTTTCCATCTCTAGACAATGCATTTGAATTTAGGGTGTGTTTGAGCCACATTATTTTGGAAGAATGTATTTTGAAATAGTAGATTGATGAAGAATGTGTTGTTGAAAAAGAAGGAGAAGTTATTTGATGTGATGGAAAATATTATTTTATTAAAAAATGTGTGGTTGAAAATGAGTAGAAAAACGAGAATAAAAATTTTAATATGGCTCAAATAAGAGCTTAGAATTAGAGTAATCAATTGGGATTATAACCTCTAGCGCTAAATAATAAGTACAATTAATGAGTCATTTAATTTTATTTTTCATTTATCCTAATAATCTCAATGAGACAAAATAACATAATTTTTAGAATATTGTTATCTACATCATTAGTGTTAGAGCACTAATCTAGGTAGTCACACTTGATAGGTACAATTAAATAAATTATGTGACATTACATTTAAATGAATCAATCATTTAATATCATGCATTTTTCACTTAGGGCCTGTTTGATAGGCCATAATTTTTCATGGAAAATGGAAAACAAATTCCAAATTTCACTTTTGCCTTGTTTGATGTACTAATTTTCTAGGCAATTGATTTTCTTGGTTTTGTCTCTCACGTGTGTTTTTCCTTGGTTTTGTGGAAAACTAACCAGGTTATTCTTTTTTTTATTATTATTTGTATTTGGAAAAAATTCTAAACACGATGGTAAAAAAAGTTTATCACTTTTATTGACAATTTTCATGCAAAACAAAGCCAACGAATGGTATTCGATATGGTAATTTTTTTCTAAAAATTTTTTTTTGGCAATTGAAACAAATTCTAAACCTAATGGTAAAAAAAATTATCACTTTAATGGACAATTTTCATGAAAAAACGAAGTCAAACGGATACCAAACTTTCAACATTTTTCAGGTGGAAAATTATACCAATCAAACACAATTAATTACAATTCTCAATAAAACAAATTCTAGATAATTCAATTTCCTGTAATTCATTTTCTTTCCACCCAAATTCCACATTTGTAATTAAACGGGACCCTTAGATTGATAGGAACATACAGAGTAGAGAGATGACTTTGGGACTATTTTTTAGCAAACAAAACGGTAGTCAAGTTCGATATGCTAGGTACAATTATGTCTTAATCATGTTATGTGAAAAACACTTTTGTTGTCACATAAGAGCTCGTTATAGATAGAAAGCAGTGTCACGATGGAGCAATAAAAGCCATGCTCATCACAGTGCAAGCTAAGGGTCTTCAACACTTGAAGAGGTAACATTTGTTTTTTGGGACTTTGACCATGTCTTCTTGTTGCAACCCAAAGTCATGAACTTCTCTTAGTAGTGTCACTATTGCTAAGGAGAGGATGGTAGACGAATAGTGGTGAATGAACAAGTTTCAATCCAATGTGTAATGTCAAAACTGCCGTCCATTTTTCTTATTCTACGTACGAGATCTCTTTTGATGAATCATTTGTTAACATTTTCTATTCTGAAAACAAGAAAAATTAGTTCCTCTCATAAATGTAAAAGATTGAACCAATTGTTTTGTACATCTGAAGTTGAGTTCCACAAATATGTTCAACAAAATTTGCAGAAGAATGCCAATCAAACCTTTAGCACACAAAATCAATCTAAATACTCCTTGTTCATCGCCGTCCACTCTATAAGAAAACAACAAGGCATAAATTTACGAGATCGCGTCAGCTGAGGCCCCAATGAGAGGCCTCCACTTGTGCATTATGGATGCCTACAAGTAGATAAATTCTAAATTTACAGTGATAGGAAACGTCATTACCAGTACGCCATCTCTGAATACAAATTTCGAATCAAACCGATGATGAGAATTCTTGAAGAAA